CTACGTATGGTCAGACGTACATGTCTATGGAAAGAGAAAGGATATATTTATTCGAAATACTTGGGGTTAATTTTGTCAGTTCATCAAGTGGATGTTCTACTAAAACTTAGTAAAGAAACAAATTTATTTCTTCCAAGACTAATGTAATAAATTAGAAAATACTGCTCGAAAGCATTTTTATCTTACTTTCAAAGTTATAACAAAGTATTTTTTCAACATGGTACTCCTTTTTGCTCAAAATTTCCACACAGAATTAATCTACGTAAAATAGGGTCCTTACGACCCCCTAACTTCAAAGCTTAAATAACCCAGTGAACATATCTCATCAGAATCGAGTTCAGCTAGAAAGATAAATCAACCGAAATAATAGAACATAAACTTTCTTTCAGAACAAAATTACCTGGGCAGAAGAACATAAATTTTAAAGAAAGGGATTTTCGTTCGATGACGTATTATTGATTTATAAAGTCGTAAGATGAAAGGTTCGTGTCGGTAGAAGTAAATCGTCGATTCGGTGACGTTAAATCAACGAGGAAAAGCGTAAAGATCCGAGTGTAAACAGTGAAAGAAGACGCTTTAAGATTCATGATATCTTAGAATATCAAACAGAGGCAGCGCAGCGTGGTGAACATCGCGAAGAGGGGTTGCAATTCCTGTTCGTCGCTGTACACGTGTACCAGGCTATATTTTGCACAAAAGACGGAGCCTCTTGCAAGGCTTCTCCACATGCATACGAGATGAGCGAGTCGTCGCGGTTGTATTATAAACCCTGCCACCGGCATTTTCATCCCCTTGCTTCCTGTCGCGTGTCGACAGCATCGAAATCGTTGGTCAGGATGCCTTTTCATCGCGGAGATACGAGGCCGTTCGATGCTTTCAAGCTTCTCCGAGAATAAACTACGCGTTTTACGATCATCGATCTTTTTACCAGAATGTCAAATTGCACGACGTGTGAAATAGCAGCAAAATTATTACAGATCTCTTTCATAAATTACAATCTTTAAAACATGACCTCGCTAATAAATATAATTCTTCGTTCAGCCATTTGATGTACGCAGAAAATGTTTATTAGAAGTTTCGATATTTCACGAGACGGCAATTACCGCTGAAACACCGTGTTTCTTAAAATGACGCAGACGTTTATTCGCTGGGCTGAAAGTTTCTTCGGCACAGTAAATCTTTGCTACACGAAAATGCGCTTTCATCGAGACGCTCTGAAAGCCTCTCCATCTTTTTCCTCCGGCACCTCGGTTTTGAATCGAACCTGTCTCTAGCGACGTCGTGTAACACAGCTCGAAGGGGTCGATACTCCGAGTTTCATCGACTATTACGTGTAATTTACAAACAAGAAATATTGAACATACTTTTGTACAGAAGCTGTAGCTTGGAAAAAAATAAAATAAGCTTAAGCTTCTTCGAGTGGTTGGATACTGTCTTAGATCTCTAGCGATGTGATATAACACAGCTCGAAAGAAAGGTTCGATATTCGGAATTTCATGGACTGTTACATGTGATTCACACACATGAAGTTTTGAACATACACTTTTGTATAAAAACTGTAGAAAGCTTGGTAAAAATAAAATAAGTTTAAGCTTCTTCGAGTGGTTGGATACTGTCTTAGATCTCTAGCGATGTGATATAACACAGCTCGAAAGAAAGGTTCGATATTCGGAATTTCATGGACTGTTACATGTGATTCACACACATGAAGTTTTGAACATACACTTTTGTACAAAAACTGTAGAAAGCTTGGTAAAAATAAAATAAGTTTAAGCTTCTCCGAGTGGTTACTGTCTTATATCTCTAAGGACGTTGTATAACACAGCTCGAAAGAAGGGGTTGGTACTCAGAGTTTCATCGACTGTGATTCACAAACATGAAATTTTGAACATACACTTTTGTATAAAAACTGTAAAATGCTTGGTAAAAATAAAATAAGTTTAAGCTTCTCCGAGTGATTGTACTGTCTTATATCTCTAAGGACGTTGTATAACACAGCTCGAAAGAAGGGGTTGGTACTCAGAGTTTCATCGACTGTGATTCACAAACATGAAATTTTGAACATACACTTTTGTATAAAAACTGTAGAAAGCTTGGTAAAAATAAAATGAGTTTAAGCTTCTCCGAGTGGTTGTACTGTCTTATATCTCTAAGGACGTTGTATAACAGCTCGAAAGAAGGGGTTGATACTCAGAGTTTCATCGACTGTGATTCACAAACATAAAATTTTGAACATACACTTTTGCACAGAAGCTGTAAAAATAAAATAAGCTTCGAGTGGTTGAATACGAAATCGCGGGAGATGAAAGGAAACGTATACGGGAAAAACGAAGCTTCCTATTTCTGTTAGAAATCCCGGGGAAAACGCAATACTCCTTGCGCTCCGCGGCTTAACGAAATGTCAGCGGTATTATGTCGACATTTAATTTAACCGAAACTTGCCCGTCTCTGTTAATAAGGTCTCTGTTGAGGGATGCGCGGAAACAATTCGTTGAAAGCTCTTCCACACACGTTTACGCGCGAGGAAAAGCTAATTAATAGAGGAGGAACGGTTTCACGGTGCCGCGAACTCGGCAAAAGCCTTTTGTCGTTGTGTCGGTGTGCGTCGTAGAGAACCATCCAACCCGTTCGCGAGCCTCTGCAACCGTTTACATATTTCGACAGAGACGAGCCGACGAAACGGCTTTTCCCATCCATTGTTCTCGACGAATGAAAATGCTTCGACGAAATATTCTCGACGTGCACTGTCCTTTGGCCTGACCACGGATTTGCAGCTTTTGTTTCGCGCGGACGGGAACAAATACCTTCGACCATGCGGAACCTTCATTTTCATCCCTTTTTATTAGGAAATTGCTTGTTAATTCTGACGTGCTTTGACTAATTTAAACGTACGAATAATTTTGCTTTAGGAGCCAGATTAAATATAAGGCTATTCAACGTGGTATTAAACATGATCTGTAAGCAATATAATATATGATTATGGAAGATTTACAGCTACTTTGAATAAAAATGGAAGGATGTTTGAAATGGTACATTTTAATGTATGTATGGAAAATGTATGAAATGTAGAGAAAATTTATGATCAAAGTATATGTACATTTAACTCCTTGCAGTACTTCCTTGAGTCTGACTCGTGACGTACACGTACTTCAGCTGTGATCAATTTTACTTTAACTTTTAATATAATTCAATTTGGAGATCAAGTTCAAGTTTCATAATTTTACTTTAGGAGCCAGATTAAATATAAGGCTATTCAACGTGGTATTAAACATGATCTGTAAGCAATATAATATATGATTATGGAAGATTTAAGGTTACTTTGAATAAAAATGGAAGGATGTTTGAAATGGTACATTTTAATGTATGTATGGAAAATGTATGTAATGTAGAGAAAATTTATGATCAAAGCACATGTTGATTTAACTCTTTGCAGTCAGACTTCTTCAAGTCTGACTCGTGACGTACTCGTACTTCAGCTGTGATCAATTTTACTTGAATTTTTAATATGCTTCAATTTGGAGATCAAATTCAATTATAATTTCCATGATCAATAATTATATAACATGTACTAAACTGACATAATATTTCAACTTTCTTTGTCAGTTTTAATATTGCTGTAATTAGTTCTGTCCTGATAAATCATAGTGCAAGAAGTTTACATGGAACATGTCTCCTTAACATTACACATGATTAATTCCATAAATATTGAAACATATGAAGAAGTAATAAATTGTAGATGTTTGTTGTTTACAATGCACCAATCGAAAAATGCATTTCAAAGGAAAAAGACCAGAATGAATTTTCTAAAAATGAATTTATTACAGTACACACTGCAGAACATGTGAAACGAGAAAAATTACGTGTTATAAAAATGTTTGTCAAAATAGGAAACATCGAATAGGTAGTTTCGGACAGTTACCGAGCCCTCGATGAAGTATAGAAAAGGGGATAAAAATAAAATTCGTCATAGCCCGAGTACTTTGAATCGCGCTTAATAAAAGCCTGAGCGAACTCCAAAGCGACAGCGTTTCTATTCCAGCGTGAACCACGTTCCCCGGTGATTTCGTCGTAGCGAAAAGCGCATAGAAACGCGGTGCAATTCGAACGAAATGTTTGAAGACCAGTCCGCCGTGTATCACGGCCGAAAGATGATTTCGTTCACGCAGCCAGCGAAAACGGGGGGGATGGAGAATGGGTTGAGCCACAGGATGGCAAGGATTGCTGAAATGCGAATTCACGCGAGGCTGCCTTTTCCGAATTAAGCCAACCAGATGTTTCGTCTTTTGTCTTTTCCGTCGCTAGTTTCTCTTTCTCCTTTTTTATTAATCGACCGCTAGGAAACGACGGGGATCGCCCACGTGATTTTTCGAACGCGTTTCGTTCACGATAAATTCTGCGATGAAACTCGCTTTTCGTGTAGGAATTTCTGGAGTTAGCTTCAATATCTTATTATTTCACGTAGCTTGACGTTATAGTTTAATAGCTAACATATAGGAATTTCTAGAGTTAGCTTCAGTGTCTTATCATTTCACGTAGCTTGACATTATAGTTTAATAGCTATATGACTTTTTGTAACTTCATGTGTGTTGCTGTAGGTACATAGCATAGGTGTACTAATGATTTAATCCTTTGTACATGAAGACTCACTATCTCTGTGCAATATAACAATTAGTCTTGTTGATATAATAGTTAAATGGGGAATGTGTGAACATAGTGGGCCATCATCTATCATCATCCAGAATTATCTACCACCATCTACCATCATCTTCCATGATCTACCATGTACCAGCTAGTCATCTACCATCACTAAAAACTTCTCCAACAACAAAGAGTTAAATTTCAATTGAAAAGATCGATGTAAAAGTTTTAGCATTCTCAACGTGAAAAGTTTCTTGAATAACACCGAGTGTTTGTAGTTCAAATTGGATCTTGAATTGGTTCTCTTGCAACTTGTACAGAATACAAAAGCAACATTTGATTGTAACAATTTTTCGTTACAGGCAGCAATTTGGTTGAAACGTGGCAGCCGGTGGAAATAGTCCCAGAAGACTCTCGAGTGTCGTGGAAATAATGCGAGCGAAGCGGATCGAGGAGACCCGCTTCAGACTGTTGAGGTACACGCATCGCGCCAAGTGTCGAAAGATCATTTAGTCGTGCCAGGATAAACCGTGGCTGTGAAACGTCGTAATCGAGCGCCGAAAACGTGGAAGGTGATTGTAAAGTTCGGTATCGATCCCCAGGGAGCGTCCAATGGGAGTCGTCGGGAAGTTGGCATCGAGAGACCTCGATACAAACATTTTGACTCGAACAAACTCTCTCGCCGCTTTACAATTTCGCCGACAATTTGATTTGTAAACAAAATAGAAAGGAATTCGAGATTCAGGGGGTGTCGGGGAAAGAAGATTGTCGAGAGCTCTTCAGTCAGCGTTCCAAGAATAAAGTCCCCTGCAAAGTTGCGCGACAACTCGAACAATCGAAGATTGAAGTAAAGAGGGTGAAACTTTGTTGTCTGTTGAAGTTCACTGGTTACTTCAAGGTTAAGACAAAGGAGACTCGAAGAATCCTTTAAGAATGCTGGAAATTGAAGTTAAACGTTAGGAACAATCATATTTCGAGCTTATCAGAAGCTTTCTTCGTATTAAATCTAGTAACCAAGGGAAGATTTACCGATATAAATTTAGAACGGTTGACATTCTTCGAGAGATCGAGTCATAAGACTTGAGAGATTTTTCCTCTACTCTCATAAATTAAACGACTCGGAGGATAGAATCAATTATAACGATTTAAGAAATAGACTATCGAGGGAAAGACTGAGGGATATCGAAGATCTGAGAGGTCGATGGGGGTCGAAAGGGGGTGAGATGGGTCTCGAACTCGCCGCGTCAGCGTGTCAGGACGATTTCCTCGATGCAGTGAAATCGTGATACGGAAATGGGAACGTTGGTGGACGATACGAGATGAACGAGGCTGGACAGGGGATGAACCGGAAACGGACGTCTAAAGGGATAAAAGAGGAAGAATCGAGGGGCTGACGGTTGGAAATAGACCGGGCGGAATCCTGTCGACGCGAGGACAAGTCGATTTGGGACGGGAACTCGAATTAGAAGAAAGGGTCGACCGGAAGAGCCGGTGAAATAATTGGGGTGTGCTCGAAAAGTTGGGACGCGGTTTAAATAGAATTTCAATTCGAGGGTGAAGTTGATACTCTTTCTCGCGTAATACGGAGTCGTGAATAATTAGCCTCGATCAAAGCTTGTGCTGATCGATTCGGTGAAGAAAGAAGTGTAAAGTCTGAACTCTGCGGTTGCGAAATGTGCGTTCCGTGTTTGAGACAGGTTTATCCTAGGATCTTTCCAGTTCCAGAATTCTAGTAAAAAGCTCGCTAATTAAATTGATCGATCATGAGGGTGGCAGCAGCTTTATCAGTTTAACGAGTTTCACAAGGAACTTCTCGGGAGACTCGCAAGAAAATCGGTGCACAAAAGCGGACGGACGGTGCATCCTAAAAAGTGGACAAAGTAGACTCAAAGACTTCGATCGTATTGGTACATGATCGAGTGGTTCAATAAATGAAACTACGAAGAAAAGACAACTGTAACGTTTCTTGTTACAAAGCGATATAACGTAGATCTCAAGGAAAGTTCACCTGTTGGGAGTTAAAATGAAATTGTCCTATGTAATCGAATGACAGATTCAACGATTCAGGATCAAGATAATTATAAATGAAACACTATGAGATTGTAACTGAACTTAGATAAAAACGACTTGGTTACCTGTGAGTCAAAGTGAAATTTTAGTGAAGACCATTTGACATTCTCGACTTGAAAAAAATTTGTAGACCAGCCAAAATAAAAATCAACTAAATCCACTCAAAGTTAATAGCAAGATACTTGGACAAAGAAAGCACACGATCGAAGATGAACCGAGTTTTCAAATTAAAAACAGCCTGACCACTGAAAATTAGAATAAAATTAGAACTATTACAAAAACGAACTTAAAGACAGTGAATAATTGAACCCTGAAAGGCTCAGATCTGCCAAGAATTACCAGCAAGATTAACCTGAAGAATTCTGTAAAGATGAACAGTTAAATCCCCGAATAAATTAGTCATCGAAAGTGCAGAGGGTGAAATAAGCGCATTCGGTGAGCGAAGGATGACACGGTTGAAAAGTATCCGATGATCACAGGTGGCTCGATCGAAGATGGCGACGGAGATGATTCCCTGTTCAATCGTTCGATCGCCTTTCAGGCCGTCGTTGAACCGGAAGTGCATCGAGCTAGGTGAGGATCGCAAGGACACGCGGCAGGATCTTGCCAACTAAAATGCGAGAACTGAACGCCACCGCATGCGCTGCTTTGTACGAGCGCGTCGAGTGGTCCGGACCGGGTATTCTGGTTACCTTGATCATCCTGGCGATCGTGAACGTGATGGTGGTGTTGGGCAACGTACTGGTGATACTGGCCGTCCATTACACCAGCAAACTGAAGAACGTCACGAATATGTTCATAGTTAGTCTGGCGCTGGCCGATTTGATGGTCGGAGTTGCGGTGCTGCCGTTCAGTGCCATGTGGGAAGTCTTCAAGGTAAGTCCTTTTCTCTATTTCGATTGATAGTTGGATCAGATTCAAGTCTGGCCAAATAATGTGCTACTGGAATATCGATTTCAGTTGTTTACTACGGAAGGACTATTTGCTGTGCAGGTTATTTTTAGGGGTTGCTTTACTTTCTAAATAGAATGAGGTATCTTCTTCTTGATAGGTCCTTTGTAATACAGATTCGCTGTTGATACAGAGAAATTAATATCTTCATACAGAAAATGTTCAGAAAAGACACACAATACTCTCTGGGCATTCATGAGTATGAAATGAAATGTTGATCATATTTAATATAATTAAAGATGTTAATGTAATGAGTATAAAATTGCGGACATGTGGAATATTTATTATAGAAACGTCATTGTTAAGTTCGTAGTGGAGGCAATTTTCCGTAGGAGATTCCATTAAAAATTCACCGCCAGAGGTTGACTTTCGCAGCGTACATACAACACGAATGAAAAATTCATCGCGAAGTTCTTGAACAAGGGTTACACGAATTAAAAATGGAGAACATGCGTTTTCGACGAAATCTCAGTTTATTCTCGATTTTTATTCGGCTGAAAAGAGTCCCAGTATTGTTCCAAAGGGTGATGGGGCAAAAAATATCTCGGGACAATTATTTGAACTCAGTCGGATATATTTAACCAGGCTCACCCATCGTGCACCGAAGAATTCGCGGCAAAAAGGGTGCACACGAAATAACTGCGGGAATACGGTTCGTCGACGAAAAGCGGGTGGGTCGAGCGCAACAGTTTGCCGGCTTCGCCCTTCGTTTCTTCCTTTCCGGCTGCACGCCTCGAAAGATGAACGTTCTCGCGAGAAAAGGGGTGAGAATCGAACCGGCAGAAGGTGCAGATTATCACACCTGCTGAATCGTTAATTTTTTGCGAAGGATTTTATTTATTCTTCGCAAGGAAGAGGATGGAGGAGGGTTAAGGATGACACGTCGAATTCTCCACGCGTTGTATTCCCTATGTATCGAATTTCCTACGCGTCGAATTTACCACGCGTTGTGTTCCCTACGTATAGAATTACCTACGCGTCGAATTCACCACGCGTTGTATTCCCTACGTATCGAATTACCTACGCGTCGAATTTCCTACAGATCGAATTTCCTACGCGTCGAATTCACCACGCGTTGTATTTCTTACGTGTCGAATTACCTACGCGTCGAATTTCCTACGCGTGGAATTCTCTACGCGTCGAATTCTCCACGCGTGGATTTCTCTACGCGTCGAATTCTCTACGCGTGGATTTCCCTACGTGTCGAATTCTCCACACGTTGTATTCCTCACACGTCGAATTCTCTACGCGTGGAATTCCCTACGCGTCAAATTCTCTACGCGTCCAACTCTCCACGCGTGGAATTCTCTACGCGTCGAATTCTCTACGCGTGGAATTCTCTACGCGTCGAACTCTCTACGCGTGGAATTCCCTACGTGTCGAACTCTCCACGCGTAGAATTCTCTATGCGTCGAATTCTCTACGCGTGGAATTCTCTACGCGTTGAATTCTCCACGCGTTGTATTCCTCACACGTCAAATTCTCTTCCCGTCGAATTCTCTACGCGTGGAATTCCCTGCGCGTCAAATTCCCTACGCGTCGCATTCTCTACGCGTTGTATTCCCTATGCGTGGAATTCTCTACGCGTCGAATTCTCTACGCGTCAAATTCTCTACGCGTCAAATTCTCTACGCGTCGAACTCTCTACGCGTGGAGGTTTAAATTGCGATAAAACGAAAGAATGGGAAAAGTTGCAGCGCAGAAAAGGGAAGAGGATTAGCAATGATATCCTGAATACTCTCTTAAAGCTGCAAAGCAGCTCAAGGATGAGGAAAAATAGAAAAAGAGCACGTAATGGAATATTGAAACAATAATATCTTTCTTGCTATTTTCTGATTAAATAAATGTAGTAAGAAACCACTCTCAAATCTCCTAAAGTTACTGTAAGGTAACAATTTTCGATTAAAACTTCTCTTGCTTGAAATACACATTTGAAATGTAAAAGTAATTAATTTTTGTAGCGATAAAATATTTTTAATGTTCAAATTTTTAATTTTCCAATCCATTTAATGTTTAATTTTCCAATTTATTTAATCTTCAAACTACAGTTTCCCAGTATAGTTCAAGATTCCAAATTTCTAAGCTTGCAAACATTAAAATCATCAAACTTTTGATATTTCAAATTCTTCAAATTCTTCTACAAATTTTTTCTTGAAGAACTAAAAGTTGAGATATGGCAGTTAGCGAGTGAAGAGGTACAGTATTAATAACAATCGAGAGAGGTAGCATTATTAGGTGGGCAACGCCGTCAGGGTCTGCAACAGTGGTTGATTAATCGAATCGAACAACGACGAAGCCACAGGAGTCGAGGGTAATTCGAAACAGGTGGTTGCACCGACCACCGTGTACACGCGATTCGGAGCGCGTGCAGTTAGTTGCAATCTCTGTTGCACCTGCTGCGCCCACTCGCGATCAGGCTGCATTCCATTACGTGCACAACACCCTGCCCAGGAATTGCAACCCTGCGACTCCGTCTCGCGATGCATTCTCCCCTTAGAGTAATGCGTCCGGTAACTTACCCTTCGCAATTTCATTATTCCGTAATCGACTTTGCGTTATAACGTGTCCTGTGACGTTGTAAAAGTTTCGATTTTTAATTTATCGGATTTTCAACTCGAGCATTTCCCTACATCATTAAAAATTCAGTACACGAATATTTTAATAGTCAGAAATTTTTTTAAATATTTCAGTATTTCAGTTCTTAAAGATTTGAAACTCTGTAAATAAAATATGATTGACTTTCTTAAACTTAGGAATAATTGATAGTTTATATCCGAAAGAATTGTGGTTTATAAAACGAAGAAAATGTAGTTTATAAATCGTTTTCAATTTACCTTTGTGTTTCGTTCGCCGTCGAACCGAATCGAAATGTTAGTCTCGTGCGAGCAAATCTGAAATAAGTCGTTCGACGACGAAAACGTATGAATTTCAAAAACACGCTTTACGAACACGAGGCAAACGGATCTCGGTACAATATTGGCTTCGACGCCGGGAAGACGAGGAGATTGGAACGTTGAATGGGGATGAATGAAGGTATTGTATCGTGTAAAAGATACATGTATACCGTTGAAACTGGGGATTCCGACGTAACTGTATAACACGTTCGTCGAGAGGATAACGGGAAAACCATAGAATCATTTGGTACAATTTATCTTCAGCGAGATAGACTGACATTTCAAGTAATCTTGCACTATTACTGTATTATTAATTTTGTAGGAGAGGTACAGACATTTCTATGATTAATAATTAAGAGGTATTTGTAACAATTTTGCTAGGAGTGATCTGTGTGTGTTGGGTCGCCGTGTGGAATTCTCCAGGCGTTGTATTTCCTATGTATCGAATTTCCTACGCGTCGAATTCACCACGCGCTTTATTCTCTACGTATCGAATTTCCTACGCGTCGAATTCACCACGCGTTGTATTCCCTACGTATCGAATTTCCTACGCGTCAAATTTCCTACGCGTTGTATTCCCTACGTATCGAATTACCTACGTATCGAATTACCTACGCGTCGAATTCACCACGCGTTGTATTCCCTACGTATCGAATTACCTACGCGTCAAATTTCCTACGCGTGGAATTCTGCACGTGTGGATTTCTCTACGCGTGGAATTCTCTACGCGTGGAATTCTCTATGCGTCGAACTCTCCACGCGTGGAATTCTCTACGCGTCGAATTCTCCACGCGTTGTATTCCTTCCCTACATGTCAAATTCCCTACGCGTCGAATTCTCCACGCGTGGAATTCTCTATGCGTCGAATTTTCTACGCGTGGAATTCCCTACGCGTCAAACTCGCCACGCGTGGAATTCTCTATGCGTCGAATTTTCTACGCGTGGAATTCCCTACGCGTCGAACTCTCCACGCGTGGAATTCTCTACGCGTCGAATTCTCCACGCGTTGTATTCCTCACACGTCGAATTCTCTACGCGTGAAATTCCCTACGCGTCAAATTCCCTACGCGTCCAATTCTCCACGCGTGGAATTCTCTACGCGTGGAATTCCCTACGCGTCGAATTCCCCACGCGTTGTATTCCTCACACGTCGAATTCCCCACGCGTCCCATTCCCTACACGTTGAATTCCCCACGCATTGCATTCTCTATACCCCCAACCTTCCACCCCAATGACAAAACCGAAACTTGTTCGTTACTGTTCAGATCGTGCAATCGACTTCGAACGACTAATAGAACCATATGATATTTACTCTTGCAAGGTCTGGATATTCGGTGATCTATGGTGCTCCATATGGCTGGCCGTGGACGTGTGGATGTGCACAGCATCGATATTGAATTTATGCGCCATCAGCCTGGATAGATACTTGGCGGTGACCAGACCAGTCAGTTATCCTCAGGCAAGTACCATTTACCGATTATTCGATTTCGAGGAACAGCTGTACGCTTCGAAATGGTCGATCGAGCCATTTGTCTCTTAACGGCTTCTCTCTTTCTTCTCGTCGAATACCCACGGACTCTTTAATCAAACAATTTTATCGATCGATTGAAAATTCGGTTCACGTTTTAGTTTTTTTATTGGATTCTATTTTAGTCTCGATACTTGTATAATTTAATAACTCTTTGGAAATTCTTGTTTTCGTTAGCTAATGTAGATAGGGTTCTTTCGAATAATGAGTGACATACGATACTTATTGTTAGACTCGGTATTTTAACACTTTCATAGTTTGTTTCACTAAATAGATCAAATAGACCTCTGGTATTTCAATGAATAATATAAATATTAAGCTCAAAATATCTGTTGCAATTTGATCATAAAATTAAATTAGATCCTAAAGTTTATTAAAATCGATCACCTAATCCTTAACACAAGTATCTACACAAGTATCTAACCACAAGTAAAATCTTTTAACACAAGAATTCCAAAGTACACTCAAGGTTTCCTGAAGTATCATAGCCGACGATTCCGCACCGTTTCGTTAGAATTGTAAATGCTATAAATATTGATTCCTAGCTGTAGGTTGTAAGTTTCGCATAAGAATTCCGTTTGAAATTTAGATCATGTCACCGAGAAGAGCCAGGCTGCTGGTCGCCACGGTGTGGATCCTCAGCTTCGTCATCTGCTTCCCACCCCTGGTCGGCTGGAAAGACAAACGGGTAACTAGCAGCTCGACCATTTTCGCCCTTGTTATACCGGGTGTTGCTACTTTTTTACGCGTTTATTATGCAGTCCCAGGCCACCTACAACGCGACGTTCGCTCAGAATGGCCCGTTCAACACTACCACCATTCTTGTTCCTGTCAAACCGTGTCCTTGGATCTGCGAACTGACCAATGACGCTGGTTACGTCGTTTACAGGTAAGACATTAAGTTGTTAATCAAACCTGTGTGCTATTCATGTTTTATGAAATTTTATTTGGAAGAAGTCATTGTGGCTGGAATTGTTTTGGAGAAACAAATTTTGAAGAAACACTTCACTTTTGAAGTTGCAATATTTTTAATATTTTAGAATGTTATTTTTACTGAGGAGAAAATAGTCAGATTAGAAAATACAAGTTCAAACAGAGAAGTTTGTCAGAAATTTAAAAAAATTTCTGATAGTTACTGACAAGTTTGAATTCTTCAAACAGTAAATATAACTCAATGATAGAAAGTCTACCTCCTCGAAATTGTAATTTTCACCAAGCTGAACTGAACAAATAGCTCTCCCAATTAAACTCCGCAAAATGAAAAATTCACTACAGTAAAACTCTCGTATTAGAAATATCCAAAACCCTCGCGAATCTAACGAGACCCGTATCGGGCAGAAAAAATTGGAATATTCTCCATTTTCTGCGTGGCCGATTTCGAGAATGATCAGAATGAAAAGGAAGTTTTTCGATGGGGGGCAGGAGGGCGGTGTGCGTGGTCGAAACGGAGCGAGAGAACGAGATTGCTCGCATAGCCGAATTGGGCGCATCCAGAGCGGAAACGGGAATTATTAGGATGTCAAGAGCGGGATCTGAATTTCTGCCAAGCATCCCGTCTATTCTTACCGTGTTATCGCGATCGGTGCATGCATCAATCCACCGACGGTCTATGCACGACGCGCTGCACCTAAATCAAACCGACAAGTAGACTGGTTAATGTATTCCATCGTCTGTGTCCGACAAATTTACGATCGCTCAACGCTGACGGTTATCAGTTTCTCTTTGCTCGCGATACTTCTATATTATTCAATTATACTCCTCCTTTTTATTTTGCTGACGAACGACCGCGAGATATTTCATTTTCTTTTGATTGTGGATTATAGATTCTGATAATGTTTAGACTTTGTAACTCCTCATTTTTTTAATTGTAAAACACTGAGACTTTAACGTCTTCAGATTTCAAGATTCTAAACTTGCGGAATTTTATGATCTGGACAGTCTTCGGGTTCCTCAGAAGCGTGTATTATAATACTCGCAATTTTTGAACGTGTTCTCAAGAAAGATGTATCATAGAAATTTTAGAATTGCATACAATGAGGCAAATCGAAGGTACCTCGTTTAAACCGCTTAGCAAAGCGAAGAAAAAGGCGTGAACAGGTTGTCCCTATTAAAGAGAGCCAGCAAGAAAAAGAACGTTGGTTATGATCGAGGCGATTGAAACGAAAAACTGGTTACCGTTGTCTCTCGGTTCCAGTGCCCTGGGGTCTTTCTACGTACCGATGCTGGTCATGCTGTTTTTCTACTGGAGGATCTACAACGCGGCCGTTTCCACTACGAAGGCCATTAATCAGGGTTTCCGCACGACAAAGGGCTCGAAAGTGCTCGGCTCCAGGTAAAGGCAGACCTCTTGCACGATCGAAGCTGAAAGAAAACCACTCCGCGAGTTACCATTATTCTCCTGCAGCTTTTCAATTCTGCTCGATCTGGAAACAACGCTCATCGCACCTCCCTTACGAGTCTTACATTTGTTCTTCGCTAAGCGATCACTCTTCTTCACGATTATCTGCCTTCATCGCTGCCTTCCTTTCTCTTTGCATGAACGCTTCCAAATTTAGCACTTTGGCTTTTCGGGTTTCGGAGAATTAGGGTTATTGGGATTTTCAAATTTTTGGGGTTTCATGTTGTGGGATTTACAGTTTGGAATTTGGAAGTTTTATGATATTATTGGTTTCAGATTTTAAAAGTTTATAATATTGTAAGATACTTAATGTTATATACTTGAGGTTCATGGTACTGCAAGTTTCGAAAAGCACAAATTGCTACATCCTCACATTTTTAACCCTTTGCACTCGAAGGTAATTTGACTGTTTACAAGCAGCAACTTTAAAACTTAGTAAAAAAGTTAAATGAATTTTCTTGAGGTTATTATTTCTTTACTAATAATTGCCACTATTGTTTGCTTCACTATCTTTATATGTCACACGTGTCATGTTATAGAATCAGTCAAAACATGCTTGTTTAAAATTGTTGTATTAAATATAATGACTGTGAGTCACCTTTCCAAATACATTTTCAAATACATTTGCAAATACATTTTCAAATACATTTTCAGATACATTTTCAAATACATTTTCAGATACATTTTCAAATACATTTTCAAATACATTTTCAGATACATTTTCAAGTACATTTTCAAATACATTTTCAAATACATTTTCAGATACATTTTTAAATACATTTTCAGATACATTTTCAAGTACATTTTCATATACATTTTCAAATACATTTTCAAATACACTTTCAGATACATTTTCAAGTACATTTTCAAGTACATTTTCAGATACATTTTCAAATACATTTTCAAGTACATTTTCAGATACATTTTCAGATACATTTTCAGATACATTTTCAAATACATTTTCAGATACATTTTCATATACATTTTCAGATACATTTTCAAGTACATTTTCAGATACATTTTCAAGTACATTTTCAAATACATGTGCAAACACATTTGCAAATACATCTCCATATATTTTAATAAATTTCAATATCTCTACTGATATCTCTCCATCTCCAAGCCCTCGGGCCCTAATTAATTATTTACCCTGCAGTGTACATAAACGTACATTTTCGCGACTAATTAGCCAATGCAATAACAGCCATACATAACAATTACATGGCCTATATATTCGCGTATAGTAATTAGCCCTATGTTATCACGTGGTAATTAACCTACATACCCGAAACCAAAGGTTTCCTCCATTTTGAATCCTTCTCATACTTACCGATGCGATTAGGTTAGAATGCATGTACAGAAATTTTCTTCCCAAATGATTCGTAAAACGCAGCTACGGTGCTCGAGAAAGTCGTCGAATTTTCAGATTCGACGAACAAAGATTGACTCTGAGGATCCATCGAGGTCGAGGAAGCGTTCACAACGGCAGCAACAACGGCAGCCCGAGGAGTCCCGAGTCGAATAGCCGTAGCTCGATGAAAAGAGAGAAAGTAAAAATCTCGGTTTCGTATCCCAGCACGGAGACACTGAATACCAAGTGCAACACCCTCGAGAGAACACCCTCCAGATGTTCGCAGACTTCGGTGCATTACAGCAACGGGCAGACGCATAGTCAATTGTGTCCGACACCGAGGAGCACTCATCTCAAGGTATATTTTCTTTCGTGATTCTTTTCTGTTTAATTTTATAGGGGTGAAATGTTTGTTCGTATTAAAACGATAGCCGAAGCTCGCTCGCCTTTTTCGCGAAGTTTTCTGAAATGTAAATGACCGGTGAGGAACTCGAAACGTTTATAGGACTCCATAAATATGCATCAGAGGCACGGATGCCTCGGAACTTGTGCCAGTGTTTGCTCGAATAACCGTTGGACTCTTTGATTCCCTCGTGGCGAACCGGCGCTCACGTGTCGTCGAATTTATAATAAAATTGAGAACCGTAAATAAATTTCCTTCTCGCCGTGAATAAACCTCTTCTGAACGCAAACAAATCTGAAACCAGACTCGGTATAGAATACAATTCGAGAAAAATCTGGAGGACAAAATTAAGAGGTTGAAATTAAAAGATCGGTACGAGTTGGTTTTACTTTACAATAAAATTAGAATGTTTGTAAGAACCTCGAACGAAATAGAAACAGGTAAAGATGGTTTATCGAGGCATTTTTTGGAATTCTCCCGATAATTCCGAGCAGTGTCGAGAGGTCGCGATCGAGACGAGTAAACGTTATCCACGGATTGGAGTTTACGACGGCGAGGAGGAGCAACGGGTTTACGAGGGTCGTAAAGCGACGACAAGGCGAGCGGGTGAACACGTCGGCGAGGAAACGCGGTGAACGGTGTCGTTAAAGTCGACCTTCGTGACAGGTGAGCGATATCAATAGGGTCGGCAGCACCAGGAGACCGAGCAGACGGAGCAGTTGCGAGAGTCAAATGACTGGGGACGATGTGTCTCTGCGCGAACTCGCCCCCGGCCCCGAGGAGAAACCCAGGGTCATGAAAATGGGCAAACGGAACATTAAGGCTCAGGTAATGTCGATGCAATTTTTAACATCTCCCTAAGCAGTCATTCTCCGCTTTATTTTCTTACTTTGATTACGGCTCAGATACTTCGCAAATAACATCAAATATTCCCAAATGCCTGTACAGACTCATAATTTACTTACGTTCTACGCGTGGAATTCCTTACGCGTCGAATTTTATACGCGTTGTATTCCCTACGTATCGAATTATCTACGCGTCGAATTTCCTACGTATCGAATTTCCTACGTATCGAATTCACCACGCGTTGTATTCCCTACGTATCGAATTACCTACGCGTCGAATTTCTCACGTATCGAATTCCCTACGCGTCGTACTCTCCACGCGTGGAATTCTCTATGCGTCGAATTCTCTACGCATGGAAGCGTTGTATTTCTTACGTGTCGAATTACCTACGCATCGAATTCTCCACGCGTGGAATTCTCTACGCGTCGAATTCTCTACGCGTGGAATTCCCTACGCGTCGAATTCTCCACGCGTTATATTCCTCACACGTTGAATTTTCTACGCGTCGAATTCTCTACGCGTGGAATTCCCTACATGTCAAATTCCCTACGCGTCGAATTCTCCACGCGTGGAATTCTCTATGCGTCGAATTCTCTACGCATGGAATTCCCTACGCGTCGAACTCTCCACGCATGGAATTCTCTATGCGTCGAATTCTCTACGCGTGGAATTCCCTACGCGTCGAATTCTCCACGCGTGGAATTCTCTATGCGTCGAATTCTCTACGCGTGGAATTCCCTACGCGTCGAATTCTCCACGCGTGGAATTCTCTATGCGTCGAATTCTCTACGCGTGGAATTCCCTACGCGTCGAATTCTCTACGCGTTGTATTCCTCACACGTTGAATTCTCTACGCATCGAATTCTCTACGCGTGGAATTCTCTACGCGTCGAATTCTTTACGCCTGAATTTGAACATTCAGCGCAGCATGTACAGATCCCTAGACATTTAGCAAATAAATAATGTTTAATAATTCTGAATAATGTTTGCGATGTTATAATAGCTAAGTGATCATAGGAATTGAATATTGCAGGTGAAAAGATTTCGCATGGAAACAAAGGCAGCCAAAACGTTAGGTATCATCGTGGGAGGCTTCATTCTCTGTTGGCTGCCGTTCTTCACGATGTACCTAGTGCGCGCGTTTTGCCCTAACTGCATCAACTCCACCGTCTTCAGCGTACTCTTCTGGTTAGGTTACTGTAACTCCGCGATCAACCCGTGTATCTACGCGTTGTTTAGCAAGGATTTCCGGTTCGCGTTCAAGAGGATCATTTGCAAATGCTTCTGCAAACGACGGGCTAACACTTTGAGGCGCGGGAGCGATGGCAGCCAATTAACCACGAGGTGAGTTGCACTGGAATTTAATTGAGGTTCTTGATATCGACGCTGATACTCTTCGTCAAATCGCTGATAATACTCTGAGCTAACTCTAAATGACTGAAATCTCAACAAGTTTTATGTGACTTAATGTGTCAAATCGGAATTTAATACTTCTCAAGTGACTCGAAGTCAAAATTACCATTCTACAACTGTATGAAATCAGTATTAGCACATGGCAAGTAACTCACACTGGAACTCACCCTTCAACATGTTTTCAAATCAGAATCCCCTTGCTATCTGACTTAAATTCGAAGCGAACTATAAATCCACACGTCCAGCTATCCACAGACCGAATCCAGATACCGAGTTCAAATAATGAATACGTGAATGTTAACCGATCCAATACCACCCGTCGCAAATGTGGCTTTGTCCATTACAGAAACGACCGGAGCCCCAGCTACTCGATCCGCGTGCCGCAACAGGGTGTATCGATAGACGACTCCGACCCCGACCCGAACTCGGAGCCGACGGTGCACTCGCAAAGCGAATCGAGATGACTGTAGCGTGCCAGGTGTGGCGCACAGCGCGTCACCTTCGATTCGGCCACCTCGAAAGTGAGGATTCAGTCCTTCTGAACGCTGCTGCCGGATCCTGGGACTCGTGCCGCGAAATCGAGCACGTTCCCACCTTGGCCAACATCGTCCACGTGCCCCGTCAGAGGAGCCGAACCGCTTCGCACGTGTTTATTCGAGCTTCTTCGGTGTCTTACCTTCGTTACCAGTGTATCGCTTTCGCGAGAACTGTACTTCCTACAGCCACGAACTGCGAGGACGGTTCGAACGTGAATTTACCTGTGTTTTGTTTTATGAACGTCCACCATGCTATATCATGGACATAATCGACTGAGTACAGACTTTTAGAGAACGAATTATAGCGAGTCATGATGCTGGGCGAGCGCACAATGTCGAGCACAAAATCGTAATGAAGATCCATTAAGTACTGGGGCTGGTGGTAACGTGACGATACTCATTTTTTCGTGTTCGTTTATGATCGGGTTGGGTTGTTGCTCAATTGTTAATTCATCCTCATGTGGTTTTGTTTATGTTCAGTTCTCAGGAGGATTTAATTGTAGAGGTTCTATATTGTCTAAGTTCTCCTTGGGGTCTTAAAGTTTAAGGTTTCCTATGTGCTAAACATTTTGTCTATAGGTTTTAGGTTCCTATAGAACTCCCTCTCTTTAAGTTCCCTTAGGTCCAATTTTCTTTAAGTGCTAGACTTCCCTAGTAGGCAGTAAGCACCCTTTGTACTCTAATTACCTTTGTCTTCTCTAGCTCTAAAATTTTCTTAAGTCCTAAATTCTCCATGGACTCCCATACCCTTATGCCTTTCCTAGGTTCTACACTCCCTATCCCTTAAACTCCCGTTAGATTATAAGCGCCAGTTCTAAGCTCACACTAGTCCTCTCTAGTCTCCCCAATTTTTCCCAGAATTACGCTCCTAGCCAAAATAAGCCTTCTTTGAGAAAGTTTACGCGAAACTTGGGTCAAGAGCGAAGGTAACCCGATTGTAAGTGGATATGCTGCAACTACTTAAATATAACAGTGTCGAAACGTTAACGCCAGCCACTGCAATATTATACGTGTACGTATCGATATATATGTGTACACAAGGCTATGTTAAGCAGCTGGTTATCATCTACAATAAGTATTACACTGTTGACGCCGTTCTATAACGATGATCCCTCTGGCCTCTTCTGGCGTTCGCCTGATCATTGTTTCCGTAGATTTTTTACAATTGTTCCTCGTTGGTTATTTGTGATAATTACATCGACGACGTGGCGTTCCCATAGGCTGTTTCGAGGACATCCTACGGGAACAACGTCGTATGTAAGCGTTGTTATATCGATGCTAATTAACGAACAAAATTTTGCCGGGATTTTTCTACGAACGCGAACGACTCCGCGTGCATCGTCGAAAATGGAGGACAGAGGGACTGAATGGAAATCGATTTCATTGTATTATGTGATATATCGTCTACGTACGTAACGGAACGAATGGAAATAAATATGCGAATAAATTCATGATCGTTAAAACTCTCGGTCGTTTCCTTGATTCTCCCGATTTTAGTTAAACGAAGTATCGTTTTCGAATTTTATTAACAAAATAGGTAACACAACAAAGTTTCTATCGTCACTCGTCACTTTAGTTTCCTTGTTTTCAGTTTAACAGCACGTTGGAATTTCAGAACCCTCCGGGTTCCTCCCTCGTAGATCCATCTGCACCTCCTCCTCGGTCTTCCCTTCCGTTTCCGGTATCATTCGAGCGATGAACGCGGTGCCCATCAAGGTAGATACACCGTAAATAGCGAACACCGTTGAAAATCCCATCATTACCACAACATCCTGGAATGATTTCGTCGTCATGAACGAAGATATCCAATTGCAAATCACGCTTCCGGTGATCGCCACTCTCTTCACGTCGCTGGTAAAAATTTTGTCGATCAGAATCCACGATACCGGTTCACAGCCGATCACGAAGGCGATCATGAAGAAGATTATGCATAAGAAGGGTACGCAGCTGTAGACGGATAGGTCGAACGAATTCTGGAAAAAAAATTAACCTAATTTATTTTGTAAAAGGACTCTTTTTACTTGTATCGCCTGATAACGAATTTCGTACTTCTGTACGTACTTATGCTGAAGTATGATCAGCTAGGTAGAATACAAAGATTAGCTTTCAATCAAGCTATGTTGTTTGATATACAGTGACATGTTTAACCGATCAATACACAAGACTTTTCGTTCGAGATAAATAAAGACAATGTATAACTTACCGCGAGACGGAAGTAACCGGACAAAGTAAATAGGCAGATAGACATGACCGTCAGACTGAGAAACAACAGCAATTTCATGTTCATAGTTTTGAGAACGGGGGGATAACAATATGTGGCCATCACTAGTACGAATCCCATGATAACAGAAGAAATCATCGGATTCATGGGAAAACCTAGACGATCCAATATCACGGATGCATAGATTATGAAGATGGGCATTCCTGACATTTGCTGAATAGACACCAACGCTGCAAGACAGTGAGTTTTCGCAGACAATTCATACATGATCGTCAGACATACTTGATCAGTAACCCCTTGCACTATTTTGACGTACTTGTACTTTGTGATCAATTTTACTTGGGGTTTGAATTCGGAGTCTAATTATAATTTGCATGATCAACACATAATATTAAATTGATACACTTCTAGTGCAATTGATGTAAGACTGTTTTAATCTTGTAGCAGTGTTTATTGCTAACTGACCTGACAAATTAAGCAGATATATTACAAGGGATTAAATTTTGAATTTGAATAATTTGCATGGTCAACAAACAATATTAAATTGATACACTTCTAATGTAATTAATGTAAGGCTGTTTTAATATTGTAGCAGTGTTTACTGCTAACTGACCTGACAAATCAAGCAGATATACTACAAGGGATTAAATTTTGAGTTTGAATAATTTGCATGGTCAACAAACAATATTAAATTGATACACTTCTAGTGCAATTGATGTAAGGCTGTTTTAATATTGTAGCAGTGTTTACTGCTAACTGACCTGACAAATTAAGCAGATATTCTACAAGAGATTAAATTTTGAGTTTGGATAATTTGCATGGTCAACAAATATTAAATTGATACACTTCTAATGTAATTAATGTGAGGCTGTTTTAATATTGTAGCAGTGTTTACTGCTAACTGACCTGACAAATCAAGCAGATATACTACAAGGGATTAAATTTTGAATTTGAATAATTTGCATGGTCAACAAACAATATTAAACTGATACACTTCTGGTGTAATTGATGTAAGACTGTTTTAATATTGTAGCAGTGTTTACTGCTAACTGACCTGACAAATTAAGTAAATATAGTACAAAGGGTTAACAGAAGCAATCTCTTATGTCTGAAGATGTCTCGATCTTAAATACAAAATTCCTCGAACACCCCTTTAACAAAAAATGAAATAAGGCTGTTTTAATATTGTAGCTGTGTTTACTGCTAACTGACCTGACAAATTAAGTAAATATAGTACAAAGGGTTAACAGAAGCAATCTCTTATGTCTGAAGATGTCTCGATCTTAAATACAAAATTCCTCGAACACCCCTTTAACAAAAAATGAACTCACTGAACGCAATGATGGTCGCCTTGGTGTGCGCCTTGAACACCGAGAGATAACCTGTCTGTTGGTTCGTCCTGTCAGTATCCTCCGTTTGATTCCTCTTCAGACTCCTCATCACTTCGTCAGCTTCTTCCTGACGATTCTGCGTCGTCAACCAGACAGGTGATTCCGGCATGACGAAAGAAGCGACCGAGAGCACCGTGGTTGGCACCGCGCACAATAGAGCCATCGTGAGCAGATCGTAGCTGAATCCTGTGAATGCGAAGCTTGTTAGATCCTCTTTAAAGATTCCTATTTCTAGACGGAGACAGCCTTTACCCGTGAAGTAGGCGTACAAGATTCCAAGATAGAATTGCAGCTGACAAATCATGCTCAGCGATTCTTTCAATTCCTTGTCCACGATTTCGGTCAAGTAAATTGGAATTATGATCGAGTACGCGCCGCAGACGATGCCGATCGTGATACGGGCTAGGTATATCCTTGAAAGAGCCGCAACGTTAATTTGATTAACTGCTTGATTAAGTTTGATTAATTATTCTGGGGCTTTTTGTTTGGGACTTTGGACTTGTTTGGTTTCGTGAGGATTTATATGGGGAGGGGATGTTAGAGGATGTTGAAGAGGTAAGACTGTGATTCTCAAGGTTCAAAGACTGCGATTCTCTTTTGGTATCTTTGAAAAAGGGTAAGGTTGTAAACTAAGTTTGAATAGGTCTTAAATTTTTGTGACTTCAGACTCAAGGTCTTAGAGTTACAAAACTCTCTAGGTTGTTAATTCATAGGGTCTTAAACTCGTGAGAGTCCAAAATGTCAAGGTTGCAAACTGTTAGGATTCTAAACTCACAAGGTTGTAGACTCTTAGGATTCCAAACTCACAAGGTTGCAAAGGTTGCAAGGTTGCAAACTCTTAGGATTCCAAACTCTCAAGGTTGCAAACTCTTAGGATTCCAAACTCTCAAGGTTGCAAACTCTTAGGATTCCAAACTCTCAAGGTTGCAAACTCTTAGGATTCCAAACTCTCAAGGTTGCAAACTCTTAGGATTCCAAACTCTCAAGGTTGCAAACTCTTAGGATTCCAAACTCTCAAGGTTGCAAACTCTTAGGATTCCAAACTCTCAAGGTTGCAAACTCTTAGGATTCCAAACTCTCAAGGTTGCAAACTCTTAGGATTCCAAACTCTCAAGGTTGCAAACTCTTAGGATTCCAAACTCTCAAGGTTGCAAACTCTTAGGATTCCAAACTCTCAAGGTTGCAAACTCTTAGGATTCCAAACTCTCAAGGTTGCAAACTCTTAGGATTCCAAACTCTCAAGGTTGCAAACTCTTAGGATTCCAAACTCTCAAGGTTGCAAACTCTTAGGATTCCAAACTCTCAAGGTTGCAAACTCTTAGGATTCCAAACTCTCAAGGTTGCAAACTCTTAGGATTCCAAACTCTCAAGGTTGCAAACTCTTAGGATTCCAAACTCTCAAGGTTGCAAACTCTTAGGATTCCAAACTCTCAAGGTTGCAAACTCTTAGGATTCCAAACTCTCAAGGTTGCAAACTCTTAGGATTCCAAACTCTCAAGGTTGCAAACTCTTAGGATTCCAAACTCTCAAGGTTGCAAACTCTTAGGATTCCAAACTCTCAAGGTTGCAAACTCTTAGGATTCCAAACTCTCAAGGTTGCAAACTCTTAGGATTCCAAACTCTCAAGGTTGCAAACTCTTAGGATTCCAAACTCTCAAGGTTGCAAACTCTTAGGATTCCAAACTCTCAAGGTTGCAAACTCTTAGGATTCCAAACTCTCAAGGTTGCAAACTCTTAGGATTCCAAACTCTCAAGGTTGCAAACTCTTAGGATTCCAAACTCTCAAGGTTGCAAACTCTTAGGATTCCAAACTCTCAAGGTTGCAAACTCTTAGGATTCCAAACTCTCAAGGTTGCAAACTCTTAGGATTCCAAACTCTCAAGGTTGCAAACTCTTAGGATTCCAAACTCTCAAGGTTGCAAACTCTTAGGATTCCAAACTCTCAAGGTTGCAAACTCTTAGGATTCCAAACTCTCAAGGTTGCAAACTCTTAGGATTCCAAACTCTCAAGGTTGCAAACTCTTAGGATTCCAAACTCTCAAGGTTGCAAACTCTTAGGATTCCAAACTCTCAAGGTTGCAAACTCTTAGGATTCCAAACTCTCAAGGTTGCAAACTCTTAGGATTCCAAACTCTCAAGGTTGCAAACTCTTAGGATTCCAAACTCTCAAGGTTGCAAACTCTTAGGATTCCAAACTCTCAAGGTTGCAAACTCTTAGGATTCCAAACTCTCAAGGTTGCAAACTCTTAGGATTCCAAACTCTCAAGGTTGCAAACTCTTAGGATTCCAAACTCTCAAGGTTGCAAACTCTTAGGATTCCAAACTCTCAAGGTTGCAAACTCTTAGGATTCCAAACTCTCAAGGTTGCAAACTCTTAGGATTCCAAACTCTCAAGGTTGCAAACTCTTAGGATTCCAAACTCACAAGCTTGCAAACTCTTAAAATTCCCAACTCACAAGATTTCAGACCCTAAGCTCCCAAACTCACAAAACCTTCCCAATCTTTCAAATTCTCAACCCTCCAAAAATCCCAACTTCACAAACTCAGCTAAGATCCCTAAAATCTCCAAATCCCAAAGTTCCAAACTCTGAGTCCTAAAGAGCAGACAAGAGCATAACTATCTGGTAGAATATGCTTACCATACTTTGCTGTATACCAAACCGATAATCAACCAACACGCCAGTAAAAGTAGACTGACAATTTTGATGCTTGTCTTCCGACCGATCTTATCCGCCATTATTCCCGCCGGAAAGCAACTCAACGCCGCTCCAAGAGATACCAAGCTACACAGCCACGAAATATCTTGACCACTGATGATCGTAGTGTCATAGATGCCGTACATGAAGATCGCTGGCGAGATCCAGGCGAAACAGGTACCCGTCGAGAAGTTGGCCAACGTGGCTGAGGTTCATCGTATGCAACACGGAAATATCTTCATGGATGCGATGGAATGACATACTGAAATTCTCAAGGTTTTACGGGGCTGAAGGAACTTTTTTCGTATGTACAAAAATTTCTTCCCGGTTAAATTGCGAAGACAAAATTAATTAAATTATGTTAGTGCAAAATATCAGGCTGTTCCGAAGTCTGACATTTAAGATTATATTTTGGACGCCTCTTATGTAATTATATTATCAAATGTCATTAGTCTCTTGATATCGACGAATTTAATTTTGTATTTATATGTAGCTATTTACGTCACGAACGATAGCGTTCCATAAATCGTGGTATGTTTTTTATTCGTACAAACATATTTTGATTGCGCTGGATGTGGGTTATCGGGCGATTAACTAATTAATTTAAAATCTGACGGTGATTCTAAATTCACAAGTTTCTGAACGTTCAGATTTTTACATATAGGAATTCGCGAAATATTCCTAAATTTACGAGTTCGGTACTTTTTTAGTTTCTAACTGTTCCACTTCAGGAACCCTCAATTTCCAACTCTCCGAATTCCTAAATTTACAAATTTTCAAATTTTACTGTGACACTTCCAAATTCCTAAAGGCCTATTTCTACGACCCGTAGTAAGTTCGCAGGAAATTTAAAAACTTGAAATTAAGGACTTGGGAAAATTAGGATCTCCCGAAATGACAAAGTCAAAAATTTAAAAATTACTGCTAAGTTTAAAAAATTGAAAATTCGTGCAGTTAATAATTGCAAATATCCCTCCTTCTCCCACAGCCTTTAAATAAACAATATCTTACGAATCGATATTACACCGTTCAGCATCCGACTGTTATCGCAGTATCGTTAATGTTGCGGCCGTGTTTACGCGAAATTTAATAGGCAACAATAATAGCCGCGCGAAGATTGGCTGTTTACTTTCAATTACGAACACGGTCAGCCCCGAACGAAAAAACAAACGAGAAAATGACGAAGGGGTTAAGAAAACCTTACCCAGAAGAACGAAAGCGTATTGCGGAAGTTTATTGGCATGTTGATCACGCGCCGGCTCGTCATCCGGCGACGACACCGCCATTTCCCGTTGACGTCGTAAACCGCGGGCTCAATTATCGACACCTTCGCTTGGTCCTCGAAAAATCAGCAGCACCAGGTTGCACGGAGATCGCGGTCTAAACTGCGTCTATCGATGAACTTCGTCAGAGATGAAATCCTTGGACACGCGAAGCGACGTCTCTCTTCCGCCACGTGACCTTCTTATCGCGATTACTCTCTTATCTCTTCGACGTCGCTACCTACACGATGACCCCGCGGTTCAATACGACTTCGTATGACTAACACGAGTCGGTGATCCGATTTCAACGCATCGTTTTATGCAGCTCGGGTAATCGCTTGTAGCTACCGTTTGATTTGTGGCGGGGCTGATTAATATTCAACGTATATTAATTAACCGTATAATGCGGTTACCTACAAGTTGAGGAACCGTTGTTAGAACATGGTACCACCAGTTGTCTACAGTATCATTGTTGCTAATTATGGACTGATACTAATTTTTAGCTGCAGGTCAAGGTCTCAGACGGTTTTGACTCGAGTGAACTTTTCTTAAATCTCAGCAACGAACGATCTTGAGATTTCAGGAATTTGTACGAAATGCAAGATATTTGATATGAGACTTGTTCATTACACGATGCTTCTGTGATTCAATACGAAAAGAGTGGAAAGAGGAGTAAAATCTGACTGCAATATTTAATATCGACTAGTATTTACTTGTTTATCATACAATGTTGAGGAACCGTTGTTAGAACAGAATACCACAGCCAGTTGTCTACAGTATCGTTGTTAATAATTATGGACTGATACTAATTTTTAGCTGCAGGTGTCAAGGTCTCAGACGGTTTTGACTCGAGTCAATTTTTCTCAAATTTCAGCAACGAACGATCTTGAGATTTCATGAATTTGTACGAAATGCAAGATATTTGATATGAGACTTGTTCATTACACGATGCTTCTGTAATTCAATACAAAAAGAGTAGAAAGAGGAGTAAAATCTGACTGCAACATTTAATATCAGAGTGTTTACTTGTTCATTACACAATGTTTCTGTAATTCAATACAAACCTCGAAACATAGGTAGTTGAATAACAGGTGGGAAAGAGTTACGAGTGCGCAGTATTAGATTGAACATCGTAATTTATTGATCCCCTCTAAAACTAGGTACAATTACATAACTGCCATACGTATGGTCACGAGTTTATTTGATACACTGTAACTTCTCCTCATTTTCCAAAATTTCTCTAACTTTCTACTTCACTGTGCATTGTAGTGTAAACTCCACAACATTGAATATCATAAACTTCATAACTAAATAAAAAAAGCCCCTAACAATGCTCCCATGAATTTTTTAAATATTCCTCATACTTCGTCCTTTTTCAAGCGCATCGAAGGTTTCAAACTCGATATAACAATTTAATTAATTAACGGTTGTTGCACCCACAGTCCCAAATCAAAGGAAATTGTTCGTTTAATTCGGTGCAAACGTTTCGAGTCCCCTTTCGTTCCATTAAATTTTTCAGACTCGACCTCAAAGCTACCTTTCGAGAGCTCGAAATCACGTGGATGATACTCCGAAAAGGCCAGTCAATTCGACTGTTAAGTAAATTAACGAACTTGAAAAGGAAATCTCGTGAAGAGGATTTCGCGAAGCCCTGCTAAGAATATTACTTCTATAATTGCCTGCATTCGTTCAATTTTTTTTTATTTTAATTTATGAACAATTTAAAATACTCTCTTTCGTTCGTAAGCTTTTGATGCGTTTCACAACCGTCGTTAATTAAAGCTCGCTTTTTTTTAGTCAATCGAAGCTCCTGCAATTTGGTACTTTGATGTATTCATTTGCAGCTTCATTATCGATCGTTTTCGATTTAATACTCGCGTATTTATTCGCAAATTTGGGAGAGATTTTAATGTATTTATTTATCTGCAGTTTTTTAGTTGCAGAATATTGCTAATCCATTGAAGCTTCAATTTTGAGTAAAATATTTTTATTCCCTCACGAAACTTCCACATAAAATTAACACTTGATAGCCTATCAACTAAAAGTAACAATAATATGAATTATTGTTATATATGAATTATTTATCTGCAGTTTCTTAGTTGCAGAATATTGCTGATCGATTGAAGCTTCAATTTTGAATAAAATATTTTTATTCCCTCATGAAACTTCGACATAAAATTAACACTCGATATCTTAGCAACTAAAATTAACAATAATATGAATTATTGTTATATACGAATTAACTGTTCGTTATAATTAATTGTTCCTTATAACAGGACAATTAAATTACCCAATTTTTAATAAAATATTTTTATTCCCTCATGAAACTTCGACACAAAATTAACACTCGATATCTTAGCAACTAAAAGTAACAATAATATGAATTATTGTTACATATGAATTATTTATCTGCAGTTTCTTAGTTGCAGAATATTGCTAATCGATTGAAGCTTCAATTTTTAATAAAATATTTTTATTCCCTCATGAAACTTCGACATAAAATTAACACTCGATATCTTAGCAACTAAAATTAACAATAATATGAATTATTGTTATATACGAATTAACTGTTCGTTATAATTAATTGTTCCTTATAACAGGACAATTAAATTACCTGAAATATAAGAAATAAAAATGCAAGTGACACGCAAAGAATAATTTATTCAGACGTAAATCTTACAATTAGCCAGTAACGAGATACGAATACGAATTAAGTTCGTTCTGCGTCCACGAATATGCATAAAACCGCGATGGAACGAACTCGAAAAGCATTCGGAAAGTTTGATTACCCTGCACCCCTTAGAGCACCCAACGGTAAGAAACGGGTTCGCGATAGATCGGAAATTATTAGGATTCTTTGATCACGTACGTTCTATGGGAGAAGTTGAGAGAAAAAAAAGAAAGAAAGTCGACTTCCAATCATCAGGAAACGAACGAGGAAAGTTTACCTTTGCCTCGTGTACCTTTGCATTCATCTTCGATTCTGCAGCGGGCTGCCACGATGAAAATCTTCGTTTCCGCAATTTCATCTTGGATACAAATTGATAGCTCTCAGTGTTTTAAATGCTCCTCTAATAGCACGTTTTCGAATTTAGCTACTTTAATCGGTTTCAAAGATATTTTTAGAGATTTCTTTCTTCTCGTATTATTCTTTTGTCTCTATATTACAATCCTACATTTTGTAATAATTTGTAACGTCGATCGAGGAAATTTTAATAAATTCGATACAGAGAAATCGGTACAGAAGTACAGTGTTTAGACTTACAGTTGTTTGATTTAAAATTCGGTATAAAACAAGCATTAAAATGTTACTTTCATAGTTACTTCTCACATCTTGACAAGATAACCTATTTCCACTAAATCATACACGAGTACCATTAAAACTAATCACTTAAATATCCAAACGAAATATTCCCCGTATCCAGTAAAAAAGAATTTACGTAATCATCGAGTGAACTTTCTCTAAAAGTAAAATTTCAATTCGGACAAATCCTCTGAATCGAGTACAAATTCCCGTCGAATTGCGGTTCTCGAAAGAAGCTCGTCGAGCGACACCGACGGTGTCTTTATTTAGCTTCCGGCAAATTGGTGGCCAAAACCCTGAAGCCGTTGTGGTCCGCCACGTAATGGACCTGCTGCAAAATGCCGTTGGGGTCGATGTAACTGTAAGCTCCTCTCGTGGTCCCGTCCAAAGACCTGGATTCAGTTTTCGCGCTGGAATCACCTGCATACGTGTAATCGTATTGGCCCAGGGAGTCTTGAGTATGGTGAAGGGCGCTGTGAAGCAGTCTGTACGGTAGAACCGGAAGCACGTAAGAACTAGGGACAGCTACAGGACTCTGAAGGCCGTTCAACGTCACCAGTTTCCCTGATTGTAAAGTCCCTTCTTGGATAATCTCGTTTTTCCTTTGCTGAGGCGATGGATTTTTTGCCGATGCTTTTAAGAGATTGTTGTCGGGTTTCGGTACTTTGATCCTGTCGGCCTCGGACGCTGGCAGGAGGAACGGGTTCTTCGTTGTCTGTCGGATTTTAATAATTATTTGTTAGAACATTTTCATGCAATGAAAATTCGACATATCAAGCTTTCCGCTCCGAAACTCCGTATTGAACAAGTTTCCGAAACTCGCATTCAACGTTAATAAAATGTGTATGCGCGCAACGGTAAATACGAATCTGCGGACACCGCCGGAAACCGCTCGTCGAACCGATTCCGCATATATTAACGCGAATGTTGTTTCCTGCAAATGGTCGCGCGTTAATAAAGTTGAATTTCATTTGCGGACAACGCTCGAAGGAACATGTTGGAACTTTATACTCTGGAGGATCGTTCGAAGATAGACAAAAATGCATTTTGTTAACTTTGCTCTTTAAACTCGTTAATGAACAAATAGTTGCGTTACTTCGAAAATATCTTCGGCTGTAATTATGAAGTAAACAAACGTCAAAGTTTCAAAATTCCTACGTTCAAGCTTTCCGAAGATTTCGAAATACTAAAATTGCAAATCATCTCACCGCGATTTCTCGAACAGCCAAATTCTTCTCGTTCTCCTTCCCCAGCTGAGAAACGCTAAAATACGAGGGCAGTATCTTGTAAGACAGAATGTTCGATTGATAATTCGAGTGATCTCTGAGCTGCGACTTCTGAAGCTCCTCCAACTCGTTCTTCTTAGCCGCAGCGACTTCCGGCGTGTCTTGAACCGCTTGAAGATCGTTTTTCGGCGGTTGAGGAAGATTACTGGCGCTCACTCTGAAGCCATTTTCATCGTCCGCCGTGTAGGTAACCGTTTGCAAGACCCCGTTCGCGTCGATGTAAGAATAGCCTGCGAAAGAACGGAGTTAAAAACGATGAATCGCGTGGTAAAATGGATGATGGGGTTATTTCGACGGAGGTGTAAAGGACAAGATAAAAATGTTTTATTTAAGCGGACGGCGAAGATGGATCCGCTGCAGGGGCGTCAGGTTGCATCACATCGATCATCGTTTCTAAAATGGTCGTTCGCGGATGTGGGCGAGTGTCTCGAAACATTCAAGAAAGGTATGTGTGCCATTCACGAGTCATCGGATAGAAACGTCGCTTGCGAATGAACCTGTCTATCGTTATTCCGATATTTCGTTTATCCGCGAATGAAATGAAACGTCGACGCGTTTGGACCGAGCTAATAATAAACCGGTCTGCGCGATTTGGATTTAAGAATTGCACGATCGATTTTAAGACGTAGAAGGATAAAAAATTTGCCTTGGAAGGGTTGAAAGGGAACGGTGATTAATCATCGGGACGACGTTGAAGAATCGAGGAACATTCAGAGGTCAATTACGATCACTCACCACCCTGTGTAATTCCGTTCAAGCTGGATTCCGATTTGGCGTGATGGGGCCCCGTGAATGAATAATGATATCCCCCGGCGCCATCCTGTATATGAAATTGCCTCAATGGCGTCAAGGATCCTATGGGACTCAGCCAAACGTTCGCTATGGGTGCTGCGAGGCTTTGCTCGAGAAAGATGCCGATCAATATCACCTGAAATAATCAGTTCTTAACTCCCAGTACATCGATAGCAAAGTTAACAAAAATATAAATAAAAATTAGCTCTCAAGAAGTAGTACAGTAAAGAGTTTACAACGCATCGTTCAATATAACGATAACATGTTGGATAAACACCGAATGATTATCCGCTTGCGATTCAATTATCGATAGTTAGGTAGTTGGTACGACGCTACAGCGTGTTACAGAAGAAAACTTACGGCCAAGTATTTCTGGGAAGCTAAGCGTTCCCAGGAAGCATTAATAAAGCGTCTCTCGTGAGAAACTTCCGGCCGACGACCAACTTTCAACCCCATCCCGAACTTGCGGGTTTTGGATGATTATTTCGCGGATTATTCTCTGCGAAAACGACGGGAAGCTCATGGAACACGCTTGAAAGCCTCCTCCAAATTTATCGCTACCTTTTACGACCCCTGTTTTCTCAGTGCCTCGAAAATTCACCCTCGTTTCTTGCAAATTTGCGCGAACATCGATGATTAAGAAATTGGGAGTCTAATCCACGGATCAATACCAGCGAATAGAATTTAAAATTATAGAAATTATAAAATGACTACATATAGCAAATATGTGTATTCCGAAGTCAAATATTTGAAGAAAATACCTGTCATTAAATATAACTTAAATGTAACAGCTTGTTAATAATGAACATCTAAAATTACTTGCTACAATTCTCAAAATAGCAGAAGAGCAACGTGATAGCATAGAAACAGGAGAAACGATTAATGTCAGGAGACAGAATAGACAGAAGAGCGAGGTGTTTAAAAGTTGAGCGAATCGAGGGACCGATTCCCGTGTACTAATTGGGAATGCATCCTACTAGATGCTTCGTAAAACTTGGAAATTAGATGACAACCGTGACGAGGTCGGATTAAACTTCCCTTATTTGCGCCTCGCTGCTGCACCCCTAACGTCGGATGCATCGGTTCGTACGCGTCTCATAAACTACTTTAAAATTACAAATTCTCATCCCCTTGTAAACTCATTTCCGAAGTTTAGTCTACGAAACGAGCCTTGAAAATTGTTTACAGTCGATTTCACGCCTTCGACGGCGAGCAGGAAATTCTGTGCAAGATTCTAAAGTGATTAGAATTACCCTGTGCATGTTTTGCGATCAGAATTAAGTGTAAAATATTAAAGTACGGTGTTTTATATTGTAGTGTAATATTAAAATAATTAACACGGAAAAAGACGCGATAATTCTGAAAGAAAAATAAAATGGCACTCACGTGTATCATGTTAGCTGCGACACAAACCCCGTAGAACTTGTAACTTTGGTCGTTTACCGGATAATTCCACTGAGACTGAGCTAACGGTTATGAGAGTGTGAGCTCTGGTAGGCATCCTCTTATATAGGACCCCGTGGATACGTTATATACGCTCACGATGCGCCCCCACCAAGGTGGCCGGTATCAGGGGCCCTACGGAGCCCTATGGTGCACCGCGACCAGGCTCATGGTGCTCATGGTGCGCGGTCCAGGATCACAAATCACCTCCAGTTCGATTTCCAAGCCGATAAATCAACGTTTATTGGCCACGGTACGAGGCGTCGATCTCTCACACATTCCACAGTCACTGGGGGATGCTGTCGACTCTTCGTTTTCGACTCGATGCCATCTCGAAGGGTGTCACCTTTTGAACTCCGCTTGTCTTCTACGAGACCGTGGGGAATCGTGTCGTTAATTTGAAGAAGCCTTGGACCTTTCTGTTTTTAGATTCTCTCCCTTTTTATTACTAAATATTTCTTACTACAAGTATTTGCTACAAGTATTTTCAAATAATAAATATTGTAGACAGATATTCCAAACGAAATTTCTATTTCTCAATGAATACAAAATTCAGTCTATCGAAGAAAATGAATAAACGACGTTCGTATGCAGATGTGAGTATGCCGAGAACGACTGCGTTTTGACATTAAAGAATCGCGTTTAATGACAATGTCAAAACCAACGCAACATGGCCGCCCACGTGGCTGTGTTTAACTTGGCGAAAAATCCTTGTCAGCGACTTGTTGCGTCGCCGCAGCTCAGTGAGTAATACTGATGGAATTGATGAACTTGTTACGTCGTTCAGTTAACCCTTTTGCCGCCAACATATATTGTATATACATCACGCGTGAAGCAGCTAATTGAGGGTGCCTCGATACCGCCGTACATTATTACAGAACTTTAATTTAAATAAAAATTAATTTAAATTCGTATACTGAAACTACTAGTTAATCTGAAATTTTCAAATTATCTTTAGAGCATGCACATTTTAATTCATTACAAACATAAAAATTGTGCAAGTAACGGAGAGAGTTTCGATAAAAATTTTGCGATCACCAAAACTTGCACTGAATATTTTTGTAATGATTGTCGAGTACTGAGAGAGCGATGATCGATTCTGGTTAGCAATACTTTTGGTAGCGAGATCTCAATTAGGGAAAGGGTTCCAAAGTAATCGTGTTCCTTGCCATTCGAAGCGGCTTTCGAAATTACGAGCTTGCAAGGGTCGCCAGGACGTCTTTATTGCATGGCGGTGCGCGTTCCGCTCGTAAAACTTTCCTTTGGAAATGATCCTGGACAGGGCTGCATGCGTTCTAGCGATATTTTTTCTTCTTGCCTCTCGTTCTTTCGCTCGTTCCCTTTCTTCCTCTTGTTCTTGATGGGAATACGAATGTTTTGCGCCTGATTACTCGAGCAAACGTCGATACATTGCGGAGCAAAAACCTTTGGAGCTGTTCCATTCTCGATAGATGAGCAATTTAAAAGCGGAGCTAGAATTCAGAGAACCATTTGAATATTTTTTTTGAACTAACAGAAATGTTTATGTTTTATGCAACTCATCAGTTTTATATCGCATTCATTAAGTATATATCTTACTGCTTTATTATTATGTTAAAATAAATTATTATGTGAGTCGTTTTATTATGTAATTGTCACGAGGCAATAAATATCGAGCATAAGAATGTCTCGAACTTTTGTTCGGAACTGTATGCAGCATCGATGGCAATCAATTCTCGAAGAAAAATTCGCGAAAATTATGGGCAGCCTCGTAAAAAGCTACGTACATAACGAGCAGTCAAATAAATAAAAAGAGACACTGGATTAGAAAATCAGTTCGAGGTATATTAAAATTGCAATAACTTTTTTATTTGTCATTTTATTTTATATCCAACAATGAGGTTTACCCTCATGATAAAAAAAGTCGTGCAACAATAAATTAAATAAGAATTTATAAAAAGATTTACACTAATTATTTACAAAAAAAAAATCATCGATTAATGAAAATGTTGGTCACCACATTTAATTAAAATATCAAGGAAATATTTGAAGAAATACTGATCGAATAGCAGTCTTGAACCCCCAGTTCATAGCAGAGGATATTGAATCCATAGTAATTAATAAAAGTGAGTGTTTGTCAGGGACTTCACTCAGCTGTCCTGAAAAAAAGAAGTTATCGACAGACCAATATGGAACCGCTTGTGACGATCGACGGCGATATCGATTCCGCGTAAATTCTCGATGGAACAGATTTTCCCGCGCTTATCCAGCATGAACGTCCGAATTTATGGAGTATTATTCGAAATAATCGTAAATCATCGACGAGGAAGCGGAACGAAAAACATCTCCTCGACGAGTGTTCCGAGCTCGTCCGTAAATCACCCGCTTTTTCATCTCGCGTCCCAGCTTTTGTGACGCGAATATGCGACACCGATGTATATATACATATATATCACGTATGTAGTACACGAAACGAGCCTCTGATCGATTTGTATTCAATGGGTCCACCCTACTGAATCGCGATCGATGCTGTTAAGGGATGAGAGGCAAGAAATGTTCGTGACTCCGTAAAAGGAGCTACCCTGTTTCGTGGATCCTTTCAGACGAATAATACTATTCCTGTTCGTTGCTCCCCGAGGAATTGCGAACAGTCCAATTTTTTCGAGGATCTGGTAAATTGTCGGAATGGAGGGACAGTTTACTTTTATTTATGGTAATTCACTTGTGTGTGAGGTGGGAGATTGATAGATAAGGTTGTTAGTCTGATATATTAATATAAATGGCTATTGATAGTATTATGAATGGATGTGATTCAGTGTGTAACGAGTGGAAATTTAATGAATGGGATTCCAATGAGAAGTAAATCAACGGGTGGTAATTAAACGCGTGGTGGTCCGGCATGTGGTAATTCAACGCATCGTAATTCCACGCACAATGTTTCAATGTGTGGTAATTCAATGCACGTAATTCAACGTCATAGTAATTGAGCGAGCAGTAATTTTACGCGTGGTAATTAAACGCGTGGTGGTCCGACACGTGGTAATTAAACGCGTGGTGGTCCGACGCGTGGTAATTCAACGCATCGTAATTCCACGCGTGGTAATTAAACGCGTGGTGGTCCGACACGTGGTAATTCAACGCATCGTAATTCCACGCGTGGTAACTAAACGCGTGGTGGTCCGAAATGTGGTAATTCAACGCATCGGAATTCCACGCGTGGTAATTCAACGCATCGTAATTCCACGCGTGGTAATTAAACGCGTGGTGGTCCGACACGTGGTAATTAAACGCGTGGTGGTCCGACACGTGGTAATTAAACGCGTGGTGGTCCGACACGTGGTAATTAAACGCGTGGTGGTCCGACACGTGGTAATTAAACGCGTGGTGGTCCGACACGTGGTAATT